CTCTACGATCAATATGGTAGGCGTTCCAGAATCCAGCGGCCCGGAGTGCGCTTTAGTACCGCTACAGTACACTATTACACGGAATAGTTTTGATGCGTTCTCTCAAATCTGGATACTTGACTTCCTGGGTACCAACAAAGGGAGCCTTGGTAAAGCCATTACTCAAGCTTCACCTCATGCGATGTATTTTTCAAAAATAAAGCCAAAAATTTACCTTAGACTCTCGCCCAGTACCGTACTCGAGCTTATTGGGTTGCCTAGATTACGGTAGTGGCAAAAGTTCAGCTCCAGATAGCTAAACCACGAAGAGTGAGCTGCAGTGCGCTGGCTCCATACATTTTCCCAATTACTGCTCACAGAGATTCCGTGATTCCCAGATTTGCTCCCTCTAGGCAACCTTTCCAAAAATAGCGCAGCAGGCATGCGCACTAAGGTCCCTTGGGTGCAGGGCAGACCTAAAATCAGGGTTGCGTGGAGTAATAACTTACCTTCGTACTTTACAGGATGGAAATGCCCTCTATGAAGCAGTTGCCGTTATATTCATTGCACAGCTCAACAACGTTGAATTATCCTTCGCTGAAGTGCTTACTGTCAGGTAGGTGATCTTTCACCCTTCTAGATTATCTATAGTAATGAGCAGTTTCAGCGTTACCGCTACTGTTGCATCCATCGGCCTTGGCTCAGTGCCAGCTGGACTTGTTTCTATTTTGTTAATTTTGAACACTGTTGGATTGCCAATCAAGGATGTGTCGTTATTGTTAACGGTCGACTGGCTGCTGTAAGCATAAACCGAATGATTATTGATTTTATTGATTAACCGAGTTTGTTGCAGCGACCGTGTCAGGACCTCTATCAATGTGCTAGGTGATGGTTTTGCCGCTAGTGCGGTCGCTCATATCCTGCAGGTAGACAAAGTCAGCCATAGCAAAGAAGCGGAGTTTACTCTAGCTGTTTGCACTTTATCCCAAATGGTAATCAAGCGGTTTTGCATTTCAGAAACGACTGCATATATCAGATGCTAGAAATGAATATCGGACGGAAATCAAGGAAGAAATAGGTCTGTCACATTGTTTCGTTCGATCTGAGTTAGACACATGCATCTGTCGTCACATCTTGATCACATGGCGACTGAACCACAATCAGAGTCT